AAATGACATCAAAAATGGCCCAAAAGACTATCTCACTCTACGACAATTATGTGGTCCGCAGAGTGATTCTGCTGCCGCATAGTGGGCCGCAGAAGTGCATTTCTTCTGCCAAATATTTTTTTCTTTACTTTTTAGTGCATTGTTCAACCCAAAACGTCTGAGGCGCGGCGAGCAAGCTCGCCGCGGAGAATTTATATAATCCTCAAACACGTAAGCTCAGTTCGGCATCCACAAAACATTATTTTTCCTTTGCAAAATTTTACGGGGCCTTACAGGTATGCAATGGTTTTTAATCCCTTGAGCAGGGTATTTTTCACATAAATATTGTGTGTTCTTTATTTACTGCTTGTTTACTGTGGGAATTGATTGAGAACATAGTTCTCTATACTGTTTGGTGGACCCTTCATTTATATTATTCCGACAAAGGTCAGTATTTGTCCTTGTGTGTTTGCGGTTTTTCTCCATGACCTTTTTGAGTGGCAGCTTCTTCGGTTTTGGAATGCATGTTTGCTTCCAGGTTGTTGATTTGTTCCATGGAAGCAGACTCATATTCTGCTGCCTCAGTCCCGACGTCCTGTAGCTCAGCCCACTTGACTTTTAACTTGGCAAGATATGTGTGTAACTGAGTGGCTTCTCAGCTATGAACCATCTTTTCTTTCTCTAATTGCTCCAATCGGGCTTCAAGCTCACCCGTCTGAGAAAGTCTTGGCTCTAAAGTCGGGAGGTGCTCAGCGAGTTGATCTTTTTCAGCAACAATCTGATCCTGCTCGGCAGCAAAAGTTCTTCTTTTGCTTGGATTATTTTCTGCAAGAAGGTTAGCCTGAAAAGTCAAAGATTAAAGTTATTTAAGATAATGTGTAGCAAGGGAAAAGGGAAGAAAGAAGAGTAAGATGATACGTGAGCAGCAAAATGCATGCTATTATTGATCAGACACTTCACACAAAAAGCCTCCATCTTCTGTCAGCCCTTGTTCGAAGCCAGGGGCTTCAAGTAGTTGGCAACTCCCACCAGCTTGGAGACTAAGTGAAACTCAGTCGAAACTGAAAGAGTGACACTACATTTACCATCGGGGTTTCGGATAGGTGCTAGGAAAGTGTTCTCAATGTTTCCATGATCGGGTGACTGATGGGAATGAACATCTTCCATTTATTCAGTTGCGGCCGGTGGAGAGGCAAGAGCTGATGGTGCTACAGCTGGCATTGAAGTATAAGGTGGAGGAATATAAGAGGTAGAACTCCTATGGCCGGAAGAAACAACTGGAGCCCGAAAACGAGACTCAGCATTTTCAACTTTTTCCATTTCTATGAAGACTCAACTGGCATTATTTTTTCTCCTTGGGCTAAGAACTCAGGGAAGATGGGTCTTCACCGAAAGCAAGAGCGGCGTCACGAGCCCTCTTTCGGTCAATGACTTCTCGAATTTGTTGATGAGCCATCATTGGGTCATGGAAAACCTCAACAGCGATGCAAACATAAGACCCCTTCGAAAGGCCTACGTATTGTGAAAATCAGTCAACAAATTTATACTGAATCACGTTGCAGATTAAAAAGGAAAATGAGAGGTTTTACTTACCATGTTTCTTGGCCTTCCAGTTGAATTTGGGTGAAATTTCTTTTCACTTACGAAAATCTGGTCTAAAAACATCTAAACAATTTTGTACCAATTGGGTTAGGTTCTAAACTATTCGAGGAACCCAACAGGTAGCTGAAATGTTAAAGGAAAGTTAGTAGAGAAGGAAATTTTCTTTAACGCAGTGAAAGAAGGATATTTGATAAACTTACAAGTAAAGTTCTAGGATTCAGGGATAGGAGGTACTGTCGCCGGAAAGATGTCCATGGTAGCAATGACAACGAACTTTTACATCCAACCACGATTGTTATCATCATCAACACTGGTGATGATGGCATTGTGACCACGTTAGTTAAGTTTGATCATACCTCCACAAAAAATCTTTGGAGAGTAAAGGTTGATCAAGTGAGCAAGAGTGAGGATTTCACCGGCTCGGGAGCACAAAACCTGAAGGCAAGCTACCGTTCGCGATATTGGCGGACGTACCTAAGCCAAGCAAACTTGGTAGTTGTGGCAAAACTCTAAAATAATGGGATCGATTTCTCGGCCCATTCTTAAAGTGAAAGGGTACAAGTAAATGTACATGAACCCTGATTTGCTAAAGGTGACCCTTTTCACTTCATTATGAGCTAAAAATTTAATATTTTTTCAATAACAATCTTCTTTAAAAATAGGGATACTAGCAAGATAGATGGAAGAAGGATATCTGTTGACGGGTATTTATGTTATTTTTAGGGCTAGGGGGTTCCTGTTGAACTTGAAGATCCATCTCAGAATTTAGTTGAAGGGAGGTGATTGTGCTAGTTGTAGGAGGCCCAACATCGGCTTCCTTAGATTTGTCCTTTTTGGAAGGGCCGCCACCGATGAAAGTAGTTGAGTAACCGGAGAAAAAAGTAGTAGAAGATATGGTGATGAAAAATGTGAATATGAAAGTGTTACTGGGAAAAAAGAAGTTGCAAAAAATCTTTATGGAAATTCAAAGAAGAAAGGTTGTAGAAGTGAAAGGTAAAAATGGTAAAAAGGGGAGAAGTTTATAGGCGGCAGAATGTAAAGCCAACATTACCCAGGTAACTGGCGAAAATATTTTTCGAATCACGGGACAACACGTGTTCGGCTCATTAAATGCAAGGAGACATGCGTCCTTTCAAGTGTCAGAAACTGTTCAGGAACTTTCCTACCAAGAAAAGAGGTCTTATCTACTTTCCGGTAACATAAAGTTTAGTCACCATAAAGTAGGGGACTATCTGTATTGGATAAAATTGATAAATAAAAGGTGGGTGCTCGTCGAGTTGACATGTGGCAATGAAGACAAATAAGGTATGAGTCAATAAATAGCTGGCACCGATTGCGAACATGTGACCGGTGCTGATGTGAGTTCCGAAGACGTTGGAACCGGGGGTGAAAGTTTGAAAGGAAGATATCAATTGGGAAAGGCAACATTCAATGGGTAGCCGTTACAAATAATCTTTGTATTTATAATCAACTGCTGTGCGGCCATCAGATGGGTTTTATTCATATTAAAGAAGAGCTTGATTTTGGGGATCTTGTCTCCCTGAATTAAGCTATAAATAGGAGAATTTGTACTCATTGTAGACGAAATATCTTTACGCAAAAATGCTAAGTTTACTCTTATTCTATTAACAACATTCTTTCTTTCTCCCAAAATATTGTTCTTATTCTTGCTTCCGGAGAGGCCCATTTCACAATCAGGCTTGTATTTTCTTTAATTAATTTATTTTCGTTCTTCGTTATTTTATATTTTTGGATTAAATTAATTCACGTGTCTATAAATTACGATACAAATTTAACTGTACCATTTTACAGGTAAATATTGATCTATAGTAGTAACTATGTAATCAGAATTAACGTACATTGGTGTTGGAGAATTTTTCTTTTAAATTTATTTCCTCGATATTAAATCCACGCCTGTTGTTTGGAAAACTCTCGCCAAATCACTAGACTCTAGGATGTTAGGATCGGGAACCCGGGTAGTGCGGAATTTAGCCAAACAACGGTATAATGACAATAACAAAGACAATGGAAGTTGATAACAACGGCAATTAAAGCAGATAAAGAAGACACCAATTTAACGTGGTTCGGTCAATGTGACCTACGTCCACAAGCAGAGATGAGCAATTTTACTATACCAATAAGAGTACAAAAGAGAGTACAAAATTAGAGTAAATACTCTAATTAATCCCAAATACCTTAAGAGAATAACCTCACATGATCACTCCAAAGAAAGGGTTCGCACAAGTGCTTCCCAACACTAACTCTCATACAAAACACTCTTAATAAAGGAGGAAAGGAAAAAACAAGAAATGAAGACTCAAGTCTTGTTGGTGTGTATAAAATGAACCAATGACCTTCCCTTTTATAGGCAAAAAAATTTTAGCCTCTTAGGTGTAAAATAAGAGATACAACTTGTGCAAATGATGTCCACCACACAATGCAATATTTTTGGATCCCAAAGAATATTGCCAACAAAATCTACACTTTGCAAATATGTTTATGCTTATGTGAGATGGACTCCATTAGCCAAAATATTGGCTATAATTACATAGGATTTGATGATATTGTGTTAGGAATTTAAACGTGATTTTTTCGGTTCTTTTAAAATTCATGTTTTGAAAATTTCTGTTTGGATGGTTTTGAAACAATAGTTGTTTCAGATTAACACAATGAATAAAGAAAATAATCAATTTTTAGAAGTTTATTTGAGTTATTGTATACCGTTTTATAAAATAATTAGAAAAATTAATTTCCATACAAGGAGATAGGTGTAAGGAGCATCTTGCGATGGAGGCACGCCTATGAGAAGTTATTACGGTAGTTTGGTTCACATATTAGTTATGTGGAGATTATAATGTGCAGATTATTTATGTGGTGTTTAATAATGAATGAGTTGTTATGTGATAATTAGTTGTTATGTGATAATTAATAATAAAAAAATTGTTACACATGAATTATCTACTTTAAAATGGTAATTTTATAATTAAGTACTTTATTCCCCGAATAACTTCATGTTTTATCTCGCATAAAAATATATTTACTGTCCTCAACTAATTGAATATTGCATTATTATGTTGTGATAATTCTTTTTATAACTAACCAAATATTATAATATCTACAAAAATTTATATTATAATTAATTATTTCAATACCATCAACCATACGACTTCTTATAGCAAGAGCGAAGAGCAATAAAAAGGTAAAGAAATTAATAGAAATGCAATCGCTAAAGCAGTTTATTATCAACCATAGTTTTCATCACTTTAACCTTTGTCTCTACATTATTAAATAAACACGATTAGACAATAATCACGATTCACAAAACATAATCCCCTTGCTCCTCCGACATTCCATCTATACTAATCTCTGTATTATAAAATTAAAAAATTGATAGGGCGCTTAGAAATGTCCTGTGTGTCAGAAAAAACTGATGCAGCAATCATTGTACCTAATGCTTTAACGCGTACACTTTACCAACTTTTTCGAGAAAAGAATGTGGCGGTGCATTAGAGCAAGAATTATTTTAACCAAAAAAAAAAAACTCAATCTTGAAATCATCTTCCATTCTAAGATCACACCCTTTTCAGTTCATCTTGTAAAAAAATTCAAGAATTTCCCAAATCAAGAATTGCTTCTCATTTGTTTAAGTAATGGATCTGCCACCAGAGGAGCTTCAATTCTTGACTATACCTGATATTTTCAAAGAATCAATCTCCATACCCAAAAGATCCCCAAAAACTTTCTACCTCATTACCCTTACAATAGTATTCCCTTTGTCTTTTGCAATCTTGGCTCATTCTTTGTTCACTCACCCCATCATTACTCAGCTTCAAGAAAACCCCAATTCATCTCATGCCTCACAATGGACAAAGCTCATTGTTTTCCAGTTCTGTTACCTGCTTTTCTTGTTTGGTTTCTCTTTGCTTTCAACTGCTGCTGTTGTTTTCACTGTGGCATCAATTTACACCTCAAAGCCTGTGTCTTTTTCCTCCACCTTAGCTGCTATTCCCAGTGTTTTCAAGAGGCTTTTTATTACTTTCATTTGGGTTTCTCTTTCTATGTTGGCTTATAACACTGTTTTCTTGATTTTTCTTGTGCTTTTGATTGTGGCAGCAGATACCCAGAATGTGGTTTTGTTCCTCTTTTCATTCTTGGTTGTGTTTGTGCTCTTCCTTGTAGTGCATGTTTACATCAGTGCATTATGGCATTTGGCTAGTGTGGTGTCTGTTCTTGAACCTGTTTATGGTATAGGAGCTATGAAGAAGAGTTATGAGTTGTTGAAAGGGAGGACAGGGATGGCATTTTTCCTTGTTTTCGGGTACTTGTCGATTTGTGGGGTGATTAATGGGTTTTTTGGGTCAATTGTAGTGCATGGAGGTGAAAGTTATGGTGTGTTTTCAAGAATTGTGGTTGGTGGATTCTTGGTTGGAGTATTGGTGATTGTGAATCTTGTGGGGCTTTTGGTACAAAGTGTGTTTTACTATGTTTGCAAGAGTTATCATCATCAGGGGATAGACAAGACTGCTCTGTATGATCATCTTGGTGGATACCTTGGGGAGTATGTGCCGTTGAAAAGCAGTGTTCAGATGGAGAACTTGGAAATGGGTGCCTTGGCACCATGATGGTGAGAATGGTTAGATCCTTGTGCTTTCATTTGATTTTGTTGCATGATATGTAAGCAAGAGTTAGTGTAAAGACATTAGCTTTTCTAGTAGGTTGTTGTGTTTGGACACTTGAATATGTTCATTTTACATAATAAGTCATGGTTCTATGTTCTTTGCGCTTTTTTATGAACTCCATTAATACCGAAGGTCTTTGTTCCTTGTACTTGTTAAAATATTTTTAGTATTGGTATTAGTATTCTTATTTTAATGTCAATAAGCATTATTTTATGTGATTGTTCCGATGTGATTTTTTTCTGCCTGAGGACCTGTGTAAATTATATAGTGCATATGATTGGTTCGCTGCTGTTTATAGAAGGAAAGTTATACCCTTTTTTGTTGTATCAATTGAGATAAATTTCTTTAACTTTGTCTTTTATGTTGTACTTAATGTCAAGTCTTCTCCTTGGTTTCCAGTGATTATATCTCCTTAGAATCCCATTGGAGATGGAACTTCAATTTATTAACTATGATTGAGTGATATAAATGGATATGAGAATAAATAAGGATAGGCCTACCTGCAGTAACTGAGTTGGTACTTCTGCTCTTTCAACCTCACCAAACCTCTGCTCTGCCCTATAACTGATTTCTTTCTTTTTTTCTTAAGGATTGGAATGGTATCTTTCTATGATAGTCTAACTAGCTCAACCCCTTTGTTGGGCAGTGTACTTGAAAAACAAAATAGAAGTAAAGGCGAGGGATCGCCTCGTTTGTCAGAACCACAGCTCATTGTATGATTCTTTTGTTGAGTTAGGGTGCTCAAACATCTTATACTCTGTTTAACATGTAAACTGTAAGAACTGTCTTCGACTCGGTTTAGTGAATTGATTATTCTTTTAGTGATAATTTGCTAACAGCATATTTCTTGGCTTCTGGTTATGCACAAGTTCAGTTTAATTAAGTGTACACAGCTTTTACTAGTAAAATAGTTTTGCTAGGAAGACATGGAATGCTTTGTATACTAACTTAAAGTAGCTAATCCATGTTCTATCTTTCTTCCTTCTCCTTTTTCCTCTGGTTATTAGTATTTTCCGTGGAAACTCCAATCCGACCTCAACTATTAGATCCATCAGCTGTGGTTTCATTTGGATGTGATTCACCCAGTTCTTGATGTGGTTTTCAGTTGCAAGTTTCGACTACTTTATAAAATCAGACCTTGATCCCTTGTTTGGTGATGGTACTCAGTACACATGTATAGACTGTCCTGGGAATGAGATACTGAACGTAAATCTGTTGATTAGATATGGTAGATTGAGGAATGATCAGCTACAAGTATATGAAAATATTGTCGCTTCAATGCATTATGGCATGGAAAGAGGAGTGATCCCTCTATTTGATTCTGAGTTGTCATACTACTGTGCCTGAATATGCTTTAATATGGACACCAAGTGATAGCTAAGATGCTTAGAAAATATGTTGGTTTCTAAGCTCTTAGAAGTCTTCACTAAGATGCTATCGGAAGGAGAAAATAAGATTTGGGAGGGAAAAGTTAGAGAGATGCTATAGCAGTTTACCTTAAAAGAGACTTAAAATAGTTCTGTCAACAAGGGGCTATGGAAAATAATTTGGAAAAGTAGAGCTCCATATATAGTTGCCATCTTTTGTCGGCTGGTTAGTTATTTTGTCGGGTGATTTGTTATAATGCTGTTTTAACTTAATTTAACTTGTAGAACCAGGGGTTGAATGTTTTTGATGCTATGTGCGAAAGGGAGATTGAGGATATTAATCAATTATTCCTTTATTTGGTAACTCAATTATGACCTCTTTCTAAAAATATTTTCTTAGTTGGAGATGGACAGTACCGAGGACAATCAAGGATCTTCTTCTCTTTTGGCCCAGTAAGGGACTTAGCAAGAATATGAAAAGATTACGGAACAGTATACTGATAAAAAAAAAATATGGAACAGTATTTCAGCATGTATATGCTGAGTAGTTTAGAGCTTAGAAGGAAATATATCAAAGATGATTCTGAAAAGCTAATCGAGACAATGCACAAACTCAAATAAATTAATATGACAATTATAATGTCCTTTTGGCATATTATAGTAGTTCTAGGTGAAGGTTAAAAGGTGTTAAATTCTTAACTTCTCTAACAGGAATGGTGAAGGGGCTGACTATTGTAATAAGTATTCTACGTATGCAAAATGATCTTAGTTCTATTTTTTATTAATAAAATTGTTTCTTTACTTATTGGGAAAAGAGATGCAAAGCACCCGCATCAGAGCATCTAGTGGCAATTAAAATCAGAAACCCGAAGTTCATTCTCACTTCAAGAAATTTAAGCGCTAGGATAAGTTGCCTCATGAACGCCTTTAAACACTGATTTCTTCTATCGCATTGTCATAGTATATGAGAACTTCATCCTTTTTCTCTCTTCATGCTGGTTAGGGCTTGCAGCCTACTAGGTTTTTGTGTGTATCAATATCCTGTTAGAAACTTGACACCTATAGGTAACAAAGCAACATTATATTTTTATTACTTGTCGAAAAAAGTAGTGTCTTCTTTTCATGCCTCGCGCGGATAATTCATTGTATGAAAGCTTTTACTGGATTGCAAGGAGACTGTCAACAATTGATTGATATGCCATTCAAGAAGCTTCAGTTTGAGAGCTATAATGATAGATCACCCTGATGCAAAGCTAAAGCACCGTTATGGATGAAAAAAATTGCAACCGCAGGAGATTCGAAGGTGTATATCAAAATCAATTTTGTCTCAACTCAAACTAGTTGGGGTCAGCCATATGTATCCTCTTTATTTCTATTTGGGTGGACCCTCCTTTGTAAGCACGTTTCAATTAATTTAATATTTAAGATTCAGCATATGACAATTTTTACACTATAGTTTGTGTTGGTAAGCAAGCTAGAACAACATTTTTCCTTTATCTGGGCTTGGGATCAGACACACGAACTTCACTATTAACCCAAAGCTAACGTACTGTTCACTGATAATTGAAATCCCAATATGGGAGTCCCCATGCTGCCTGGAAGAGTTGAACTTGAGCTCCCTATGTGAGGTGTAAGTGGAATAATTTCTGCACCCACTACTCTTTTGTGATAGTGAATGCATTTGTCTTGCTTGTTAGTGCTTGACTAATAAATTAGAAAGATCTTTTCTTGCGGAAGTGAGTGCTTGCTATGGTAGAGTTTTTTTTTTTTTTTAATAACCAAGGGGTCTGGGCCGGCTTCTGTGCGACTCGATTAATTCCACGAGATAATTGCTACCTCCCACCAACAACAGGTACCAGGTAACTCTGTCCACCAAGGCTTGGACAAATGCGGAGTGTTTTTTTGCCTCCGCTGGGATTCGAAAGGAAACTGTCCATGCCCGGGTAAAGAAAAAGTTCATAAGATCTCAAAATGATCTTCCAGCTCTAATAGTTCTATTTCCATTGAGGAGTGAATTGACTAATCCAATAGTTCTATTTCCATCGAGGATTGAATTGACTAATCCTTTTATTTCGAGCGGAGAATCTAATAGGAATATTGCTGTGGATATTTTGACCAAGGATAGACATTCCCTGTCCTCGGCATGCACATTGATGGACAGTTTGTGAAAGGAGAATTATCTGGCTTTGTTAGTACTTAGCTATCATGACTTAGCATATTGAGGCTACCATTGGGCTCCGAGTTATTTTCATTAACTATCAGCTTGCACTCTAGTGACCACATGGTCCAAGTTTGATGAGGAATGTGAAAATCTTATAATAGCACATGGCTTGCAAGCGATGGGTAGCGCTTGCCATATGCAGCGCCACACATAATTGGCTCGTGTAAAGAGAAGCTCTTCGAGCTTTCTTCGCATGCTTGAGCGCATCCCCTTTCTATTACTTAGGTTGTCAAATTTTCTTTAGTTCCTATATGACTATAATATTAATAATAGGGGGGTACGGGGCGCTAGTGAGCAACAAATCTAAAGGGCTATCCCTTCTTAGGCCGGATCTTCCAATCTTTTCACAGATCACTTAGCCCGCTCCTTTAATGGCAGCGGCTTGAAATCTTACCTTATTATTAGAGAATAAACTATATGCTTTGGGCACTTATATTGGTTTAACAATGGCAACTTTTGGATGTCCAGGTTCTCACAATTGCTTTGAGGCTGCATAGATGTTTCTCTTTGCAGTTCCTTTGGGTGTGCCTTTCTTAACACTTAGCCACCCTTGGGCTTTGCAAGTTATTTCGGTTAACTGCAGTTGGTTTGCACTGCTAAGTAGTCCAAGTCTGATGAGGAACATGATACTGCTACAATCCCACATGGCTTGTTAAATATATGCCTTAATCATTTATCTTGGGCTGCTAATTGTAACTTCTAGACATGCAAGTTCTCGCAGTTGGTCTTATGGTGAAGTGCTAGCTGAGTAGACTGTTTGGAATGCATATTTTGCTGGTCAATTAAGGATGCCACAATTGGAGCTACTTTTCTTTTGGTGACCCTAATGTGTATTCATGATTAGATGTTTGACATTTCACTTACAGACATTGATTGTTGATACAACAAATAGAGAAAAGACAAAGGTGGCAGGACAGTAAGAAGAGATCGGAGCAAGCATTTGATCGTCTTTTTTATTCTCTTCGACCTTTTGATAGTATTCAAACTAGAATTTCTGTGGTTTGATTTCTTTCTAGTTTCTTGGTTCTCCTTGATGAGTTTGCATGTATTTAGCCTGAAGCATTTACCTCAGCTTGATTGTGGGTGAATGACATGAGAATTGTACTAATTGGAAGTGTTTAGCATCTTTTTTAGCAGTTTCTTCTGTAATAGAGTTTTAAATGTAGTATTTGAATTCCAAAAATTATGCTCTCTTGACCTGTTTGTTATCATAACAGGTTGTGCTATGATGATACCAAATTGTGGCAGAGCTGAAGATTGCCCTCATAATCAGAAAATCTAGCTATTTCTCTGCTCTCTATTCAATCTTGAAGGATAAAATAGACTACAAACTTTATCTGTCTTAGCTTTTTTGATAGGTTACTTTTTCTTTCTTGGCTTAGCTTCTGGTTACATGGTGATAGAAAGAACCAGAAGCAGAAAGTATAGAACATTGCACTCTTGTTTTAATTGGATTGCTCAGCTGGATCTACTATTTGAGTTTTGGTTTATGTTAATGTCATACCTTAAAAAGTCCAGAATATTGTACTTGTTGGGTTTGAATTGCTTAACGAAATCATGATCAGTTTCGTTTACTAGTTGAGTCTTGGTTTATGTCATTGCTCACGTTGGCATTTTGAACGGTACTGCTAATTTATAAGACATTTAAAAGTAAAGAAAACGGAAGAAGAAATATTCGTATAGTGATTAATGAAACAGGTTTTTATGTCCATTAATTTGTTCAGAAACGATGAGAAGCTGATTCATACCAAAAAGTTTTCTGTGATTTGATTTACACATGACATGATTTCGTTGCAGTTTCTCCTTGATGAGCTTGCATGTAATTAGCCTCAATCATTTACTTCATGACATGATAGATACTATATGTACGTAATTGGCATTTTCTTGCTTCGGCAATGTTTGCAACTGCATAGCAGCATAGATAACAATATTTCAAGTCAGAGGCCACCTCAGATCCTTTGCTGCCCAAGAAGGTCCCTCTTACATGAAAATGGCAATGATGTGAGGAATGCTGCACTGCTACGAAATTTTGTACAATTACATCAAATCTATATATCTTCTATATGTATTATTAAAATGAGAGAAAAAAAGCCTCCACATCCTGCTGCCTTATAATAGGCCACTTGACAATTTTGGACAAAGCTAGTTAGGTTAGGTAATGATTAGTTTCTTTTTAAATTTAAATTTTATAAAAAATTAAATTATACATTATGTGTTATGTCTTGTTAATAATTAGTTACTCTTTTTGAATTTGAATTTAACATACTTAACTATTTTTTTTTACGGAAACAATAATTATTTATTTTGAAATCTATTCTATTTTAAATTGGAAAGTTGTCAACACATAATACAACAACAACAACAACAACAACAATCCAGTAAAATCTCACTAATGGGGTTTGGGGAGGGTAGTGTGTACGTAGACCTTACCCCTACCCCAAACGAGTAGAGAGGCTGTTTCCGAAAGACTCTCGGCTCAAAAAAATAAAAAGACAAAAGGACAAAAAGGAGACAATATTAGTATCACAACAGCAATCATAGAAAAAATAGGAACACCATAAAATCCAGAAGAAAGATGCAAAGCAAAAGAAGACAATATTAGTATCACCACAACAATCATAAGAAAAATAGGAACACCATGAAATCTAGAAAAAAGATGCAAAACAA